GATCCCCGTCAAGGTCGTCCAAACACTGCAGTCACCCAAGAAAACGTTGATGCTGTGCGTAAGCTGATTGACGAAGATCGACATGTGACATACCGCGAAATTCAGGCAACTTTAGACATTGGCATGAGTCAAATACAAATAATCTTGCATGAACAATTAGGTGTAAAAAAAGTTGTTTTCCCGATGGATACCGCATTCGCTCTGTGAAGAGCAAAAATCGGGGCTTAGCTTTCAGAAGGTTTCAAAACAGAAAGAAATGAATTCATAGTGAAAGAAATTGCAATATTGTGTAACAATAAAATACAAAGACTTTTAAACCACCATTTCCTTTTTACAAATTGACTGTAAAAGAAAAGAAACATGTCAATTGGATTCAACGTAATAGAAAGATAAATTGGTGTGAGGGAGTAACACCTTATTTAAATTATCAGAATTTGATTACAGATAATATAAAGGATAAATGTATATACGTCAAAGGTTTAGAAAAAGTTTTATGGTTAAAATCCATCTTACAAAATGATAATATAATTAATTTAGAAGATAAAGGATGTCCTAGTTTATTAATTCTGTATGATCGATATAAAGATTGTAAAGATTTGTATAGTTGTATTAATCACGACTCAGTATGTGTTTTGAAATATGTTTTTTGTTTAAATAAATGGTGCTCTGATAATAACATTTGAAATATTCTTTATTTTATTTCATAAAAAAACTCTCCACCAGCAACTTTTTTAAAATGTTTATAAGGAATCAGCGCAGCTTTGCAGCTTCATTATACTCTTGCAACCAGCAAGATCAAACCTCCACAAAGCATGAGGGACATGTCTCAAAACGAATACAGACCCCGATATAGTTTATATGATTCATATAAAACACGCTTACTTTCATTTAGCCATTATTGGGCAACGAGTGATTTAAGAGAAGCAGTGGTGAATGAAATGGTTGATGCGGGATTCTTTTATTTTGGCGATAGCATAAATGATACAGCTGCTTGTTTTTCCTGTGGAGGAGTTATTAGAGATTGGGAGATTTACGATGATCCGTGGATGTAACATACATTACATTATCCTCAATGTTTTTATGTGAACGCCGTGAAAGGTTTAGATTATATAAATAAATGTCTGAAAGAGTATGGTAAATCGCTGTGAGTTAAAAAGAGTGACACAGAATTGAGAAGACGTCTGCTTAGTTAAAAAAAATGAAAAAGTAGAAAATCGCTGTGAGTTAAAAGTGATACAGAATTGAGAAGACATCTGCTTAGTTAAAAAATGGAAATGTAGAGCTGTTTAGTGTAATATTGGGGCGAACTGCATCGCGAACGGATGTGAGTGATGCAGCAGCCCCAATATTACCCTACTGGTATGGTATTAAAGTTCAAATTGAGTTTTAAGTATTATTACGAATATTTTGTATGGGAATATAGAAAAGTGTTGTTATTAGACATTTTCAGGCAATTTTTTAAACTTTTCTCTCCGTAAGAACCATATTCGTACTTCAAGGAATATTATAAAAAAAGAATTAGCGAAATCGGCTCAGCTGCTCTCGAGATTTGCGCTTAGCAACACATTCAGCGAGTCATTTTTATATTATAGATTATTCAATTTCAATGAATGTATTATCAATCCGAAAATTACAGAATTTGCTGCGGCAGTAATGCACCAGGTACCAGCTAGTAGTATAATTAATTTTGTTATTTATAATAAATGATGTTCCAAAATCATTCACTTATTTGGATTTACTTGTTATGACTCATCTCTAGTAAGGTACGAGCCTAATTCTAAGTAAATTAAATCTGATAAATCTACGCATACATGCTCGTTGACTAGAGGTGCTTTTAATTTGGTTCTCATTGATTCGTGCATTTTAGTGATGACAATTTCCGTCCCAACCAAAGTGAGCTCCACAGATTACTGTATACCAGTCTTCGGTGAGCTCCTTGCCCTTCTCAAACGTAACTCCTCTGATCTCGCAAGTAATTACCGATTATTATCAGTAACTTCACCTGATAATATGTCAATGAGGGCTAATCACGGAGCAAATTGAGAAATTACTTTTAAATAATAATTTATCAGTTTCTAAAGTGTTATGTTAATACACAACACAATGCGTCAGGGATTTGATCTTTATTTTTTTGTACTTTATATTTATACCTCTTTTTGAAGTTATACTTCTTTTGGGGCGTTTGGGAAAAATGATGAGAGTGAATTTTTACGATGCGCACGCACACCGCGCCACCATGAAAAGGTACACCTACACCTAAAAGCGACAACTTCAGTGGGTAATTGTCTCTCAAGGTATTTTTTTGTTTTGTAACCTTAAAAAAATATTACTTCCTACGTGCGTACAAAGTACACACACACTTTTTTATTTTATTTTATACTTTTAGTTATATTTAGAGTTTGGTTTATTTATTTTTAATGTAATTAATAAAATATAACTAATAATACAGAAAGAAACATTAACCTTTACCGTTATCGTTACAGCCTATTAAAGTCCAATGTTAAACCCAGGCCTCTCCCATAGATTGCCCATAGGAAGAATATTTGCCATAGTTGCCACGTTTTGCAGGCGTGTTGGCAACCGCAGTTTTTTTTTAAATTTTTGGTTGTTATTGGAAAGACGTTGCTGCTCATCTCCTGACTTGTTTCCCACTGTCACAAACTGGACACAAAACACAATTCAAACATTCTAGTAGAGAAGTAGAGTAAACAATTTTTGTGAAGTAACATTTCGATGTATAATATCAAATATTTTCTTACAATTGTGACACTTTAATTTAGTTTTGTTTTTAATTTATTTGTTTATTGCATTTAGTACAGCAATTTTCTTTTTGTGTTGAGATCATTTTTATAGTTAAATATTTAAGCTGTAATTATATTTCCGAGCCCTCTATTAATGAAAAATTTATGATCTCCTCTATAAGTTTCCTAAAATTGTCACAGGATGTCGTATATTGTGACTTATATTATTGTGATATTTATTTACAACTAGGTGTTTCCCGCGACTTCGCCCGCGTGTAATTTAGGGTTTTAATTTTATTGCTCAGAACCCTAATTCTTTTTCTCAAATATAAGTAGCCTAAGTTACTCCTTAGAACATCAGCTATCTGCCAGGGAACGTCCCGTCGAAAGCGGTCCAGCCGTTTCGGAGATTAGCCGGAACAAACAGACAGACAGCCAAAATTTTTAAAAATTATGTTTTTGTTATATGTGCCGTATATACATTCATATGCATTTAGTAAAAGGCTGTTATTTTAACATTACTAACAGACACTTCAATTTTATTTACTTGTATAGATATAGATATTTAAGCTGTAATTATATTTCCGAGCCCTCTATGAATGAAAAAATTTTGATCTCCTCTATGAGTTTCCTAAAATTGTCACAGGATGTCGTATATTGTGACTCATATTATTATGATATTTATTGATCAATGAAAGCTATGCTTTACAAGATGTCGCTGTTAAATCCTTAAATACAACGACTTGTTCTTTCAATCTCGTGACATTCATTACTTTTTTTTTTAACCCCGACGCAAACCGAGCGGTGTTATATGTTTAGCGTGTGTATCTGTGTGTCTGTCTGTGACATCGTAGACCAAAAGGATGAAACAATGTAGCTTTAGTTTTGTTTTTGTTTGATTAGAGAAAATATTTTGAGTAGTTTGAAGATCATCAGCTCTTTTTGTTTCGGAGGTTTCTTTTTTCAATTTAAATTATTGTTACATTGATTTTGTAGTATGATCATTAGATACAACTTTTTGACGTTGCATAGTGCTCCTGCTTTTACTTCTGATGGAGTGAAGCTATTACATACAAGATGTCACTGTTAACTTAAATATTATAACGGTCTGTTTTTATATTTAATAATAGTACCTATTGGTACTATCCGGTAGCTTGCAAAGATATTGTTTTAAATAAAACTTTGGGAGCTTGCTACTTATTTATTTATCTATGGTTGTATGTGATAAGATAAACCGAGTAAATCGACGTAGGTATTTTACGTTATTTTACGCCGGAATGGATATGTCGTGGTCATTTATTATGTTAATAAAAATATATATATATTTTACCAGATGTGATGATATAAAAAATGTTGCGAATTTACTTTAATGTTGAAGAAACATCGATGTTGACATCGATAGCTCAACATCGATGTTCGATGCTTATCCTACTCAAAACATCGATGTTGTCTATTATCGATGTTTTTTGGACGTGTATTTAATAGGTTTATGGTTTAAAATTAATGAAATAAAACAAATTAATAAACAATGTAGTGTAAAACAATAATTTAAAAAAATTGGAAGAAGTTTACAAATATCTAGTTCATTTGTTATATAGCCCAATATTTTTGCCGATTGATTAAAGAACTAGTAATTTTGACTAAGAAGTACCCTTCAATGTGTTTGTGTTGATGTTAAAACATCGATGTTTTCATTTTTGACATCGATGATAATCGATCATCCCTAGTCTATGGTATATGCACCCATCACATCACCCAAACAGAGAGTTTTGGCGAGAACTTGACCGGCGACGGATTGCTGCTCCTGTATTATTGTTTAAATAATGGTTTGAAGTGGATTTATACTATGTAAAAGTGGTGCGATTTTGTGTATTAAATGTCTGCGCATGTGAACTATTAATGGAAACTGGGAAACAAGTGCTCTGATGGTGATGTGATTCTCAAGATATGGTGTCTGTCTGCTTAGGTGCCTTGAGATACCATCGCCAACTTTCAGCTGTCTGCTGGCTCAAGTTGCCGTCAAAATCTCGCAAGGGCTGCACAATGTGACGCATCAATATATTGTGAAGCACTATACGATGAAGGATAATAATTATACATTGTAACTTCAGACTCAGAAGGGCTAGAACCCAGAGCCGTAAAGCCAGTTATTAAAAAAATCACCCAAACAAAAACAAATCTTTGGAAAATATATATTCAAACTTTTTTATTGGTATACTTAAAATTCATGAATACTATAAATGTTTTTAAATAGTAAGCATGTACCCGTGGAACTGTTGTAGAACTTGCCTTAACGAGCAATCTCTACATCCAATATTTGCAGTTCCTGAGCATAGTGATAAATATTCTAAATTGATACAATTAACTACTGGTGTAAAGGTAAAAGTAAATATAAATCCTTCTTATTATAATAGAGCATCAATAGATTGTGTCATATCGCTTTCTTGTAAAAGTAGTTATCCAACTTACACCAGCCACTTTTTATGCTTCCAATGGTTTTCAAAAGATTTGTTGCGATAATTTTAATTGGCCTGAAAAACATCGTTAAAATAAATTAAAATGATCAAGATATATATCATAAATCATGATATTTTGCTGTGTTACATGTCCTACATGCCACAATTTAAAAAAAAATGCTATTACCATAATAGCTTTTTTTTAAATCCCGCATTAGGAATGTCTCCTGTATACTGTATAGGGGCAGCTTACAAACATAAATTGCAGAAGAACAAACAGCCAGACCCATAACAATTATTTTTAGCCATACAAATACTTGTTCCATGAGGGATTCAAACCCAAGGCCGCCAGCTCTGCTACTTATTGCTAAGCTACTGGTCCCACGGAGCCATCAAAATTAAAGCTATTAAAAACTATTAAAGATTTTTCTATATATAATAGCCATAACTTTTTTAAATATTGGAAATTGTATTAATATCACTAATACTAGGGGCAGTTCACCTCCTAAGTGTGACAACTAAGGCAAATAATAAAAATCTCAAGACCAACTTTTGGTTATGGTGGCCTGTTTCAACAAAGACTAGTCATCTACGCAAGATAGAATTTGAGTGCCCAAGTATATTCACAAGTGTACTCTCTATTCTCTTACTCAAAAAGTCGAATAACATAGCAATCTGACACGAACAGAGAGAGATCAGATGCAAGACCAATAGCTTTATGTGCCTTCCGAAGTGCAGGGGTGAAACACTGCCAGCTTCCTGACTCCAGGCTGCTACTAGGAATTTATTGACTTTTTTTTTATCTGAAATGAGACAGTCAGGCAAATATTCCCTTATGAGACAGTCAATGGGGGAGGCATGTGTTCAACAGTGGACTTTTGGTAGGCAGTAATTAATTAATAAATACGATACAACTTGGAGACCTTAAAGTAGCCCTACGTGATAGAGTCATGCTGCAGCTATATTAGTAGTATTGTTGTAGCACAAATGGGTTGTCTCAACCGGGGAAGGACCATGCTCTCACAGAATACCAGTGTAAAATAGCAGCTTAACACTGCAGTGTTTTGTATGGTGAGTGTAGAGAACCGGAGACCCTTTTTACTGGAAAAGAGGCATTTCATCTTAGTCTTCACGGGTGACAACCCATCTGCATTTTGATTTGCAAACGAAAATGGATGTAGATGTCTATTGCCTACAACAACCACTTACCATCAGGTGGACTTTGTGCTCGTTTGTCAGCCAATTATATTTAAAAAAGAAAAAAGCAAGCATTCTCCTCCACCAACAGACCTGCAATTCTCATGGTGTGGTTGGCACTTACCATCGAGTGAGCCTTGTGAAACTTGTTTGCCCCATCTTCTATAAAAATAAATAAATAAATGAAATATAATGGTTTAAATTTTTAGGTTGAAGTAAACGACACACTTCCACAAGAAATGTGCTCCACATGCATTGCATTTATAAATAACTCAATTAAATTTCGTAAATGCTGTGAAGATGCTCAGAAATCTTTATTAGATCACAAGATTCATGATATTAAATCTGATACACCACACATTTTAAAAATAGAATATGAAAAGGCAGTGACAATAGATATATCTGCATTTTTATCACCTGATGATGATTTTAAAGATTATGACGATAACATTACACTAGATAACTTGCAGTACAGTAATTATGAAATTCCTGAACACAAAATCTGTAATACCCCAGATAAAACATTGCAAAAAGAATTTGAACCCAGAATATTAGACGTAGTAGAAAACCCAGAAGAAATATTTTTTAACAATGAAACAAATAAAAAAGACAATGTTAAAACTAAACCTAGGAGAACAGGAAAGAATAAAATTGAGAAGCGTGAAAAGGAGAAAGAGTCAAAGAAAGAAAAAGCTGAAAGAGTTAAAGAGGAGATTGAATGTGAATATTGTCATAAAATATTAACATCAAGGTTATCATTACGTAACCATTATAAGATACACACGGGTTTTGATGTAGTTTGTGAGGTAAGCATTAATTTTGTTTATTTTCTATTGTATAAAAATACTATTGTATCTAGTCAATATTAACCATTTCATTTAATTGGTTCATTTTATATGGATAAACCATTTATAAACATAAAACATAAACATAAACACTCAAGCCTGTCACCCAGAGGGGTAGGCAGAGATTATGGACTTCCATTTGGCACGATCCTGACACACCTCTCTGGCTTCCTCCACATCCATATACCTACGCATACACGCTCGTCGGTTAAAGGTACTCTTGATTTGGCCCATTTTTAATATATCGCCAATTTGGTTGATAAACTTTCGCCTTGGGCGACCCTTCCCAACTATACCGTTCACCTCTGCAACATAAATTTGCTTCGTCACTTTTTCCTCATTTATTTTTTCTACATGGCCAAACCACCGAAGCATTCCTTTCTTAATCCTGGTCACAACATCATCTTGCAAACCACACTCTTCTCTTATTAAACAATTTCTCACTCTGTCATTTATGTTCACTTTATTTTACCTGTTTAATGGTAACATACACATATGTTTTCTTATACATATCTATGACACAGTAAAAATACTGTGAAAATGATTTGTTCCATTTCTATTCATCTATATAAATTAAAATCAGTTGCCGCATGTATAAAAGATCATCACTTCAGAATGGCTAAACCGATTTTGATGAAACTTTTAAGGTGTGTTTGAGTGGGTGCCTGAATAGTTCATTCACAATTGGACCCAGTATGTGATGCTGTTGTCTGTTTTGAGATCCAAAAATCAACCGTGCAAAGCCCGGGCGAATCGATAGTTTATAATAAATACTAAAAAATATGACAATTTTGAACTTTCATTTAAAAATAAAATAATGCTTTAATAAAAGTTTTTTTATGCCCTTGTATTCAAAGTGACAATGGTCGAGTATAGTCTTAAGTATAACATGGGTTCTATTCTATACTGGCGATAGCATTTTGTGCAAATAAAAGTTTTTAGGAGATGCCTAGACTCGCTTAACTTCATTCCACAGTGGCCATTTGGCTTTAGATCAAAACATAATATGCTGTCTGTGACACTTTTTTGACTAAAATTGATACAATGTCGACAAAAAAAATATTGTTCTGTGTATGTTCATGGGCCTAAAAAGGCCTTTGGTACCATAAATTATGAACTATTGCTAAAACAATTTTTTAAAACAATTGGCATCAATGCCAATGTTATTTAAATAATTACATCCTACCTTACTAGCTGTTCACGGGGTTATTTATGCCATGTAAAAAACCCACTGATCTCGATAATGGGCAGCTATTTAGATTTTATTGACAGGCACTTCAATATCATATATATGTATAAATAAAATAGATTACATTCCCACATCACTTTGTATGCAGATGTTTTATTTTGGATCATCCATATATAAACATGATTTTGCTAGTTCAATAGAATCTTGACCCTCTTTATATATGATTACAGTTAAATCTTTTAACAGTTAACTAAAGTAAAACTTCTTACATTTTAATGCAAAAACTTTCATCATTCCATTTCTAGCTAAGGCTGTCGCAGGAGGCTGCTATGAGAAATGCCATAATATTTTACAGCTTCCGATCAATATCGCAATAACCTTCTATTATAAGTGGTTAGTCACGTTGCAGCTTTATTATGGTTGTAGCAAGACTGGGTCGGCTCGATCCAGGAAGGGGCACACTTTCACAGAATACCAGCATAAAATTGCTGTTTCTATTAATACTGCTGTGTTTCGTATGGTGTAGAACTGGAGACCCGTTTTACTGTTTACGGAGGGTGACAACACATTTGCATTTCAATTTTTAATCGGGGATAGATGTAGATGTCTATGGGTCAAACCACCTTCAGGTCTAATGAGTGCTTATTTTTTACTATTATTCTATGAAAAAAAAATAATCTAACACAAGCACTCTGTTTCAGCACTGTGGCAAAAAGTTTATCACCCGTCGCCTCCTGTTGATGCACTGTCGAGCGAAACATGGATATGAGAAAACGGACAAGTGTTCCTACTGCGACTACAAGGCTTCTAATGCTGAACAGGTGAAGGTAGGTTTATACGTGGTGGAGCCATGATGCAGGTATGTTATAGTTGTTGCACGAATGGGTCGGCTCAACCACGGAAGGACCATGCTCTTACAGAATACCCGTATGAAATAGCAGATCAATGCTACTGTGTTTTGTATGGTGAGTGTAAAGAACCGGGCACCCTTTATACTAGAAACGAGGCATTCTATCTCAGTCCTCAGGAGTTCAATGCATCTGCATTTTGATTTTTTTCTTGTAGATGGAAATGGAGCACAGCATTGACTTACCATCAGGTGGACTGTGTGCTTGTTTGTCACCCTTATTCTATAAAATAAAAGATAGTTATGCATCCCATACAAAATCTGAATTCTGCCAACTTTCAAAACTATTAAACAAAGATTATCTAAAAAGGGTTATTATAATATGAAGGAATTTATGGATGATTGACAATCCGCCTCGCCTTTGCACGGGTGATTTCTGGATCCCGACAACAGCGCCACCTACCGGGTACAATTGTAGATCCGAACCATCCAGGGACCTACTCAAAAATTTTTTGAACAATTAAGCAAGCCATTTTCGAGTTCTAGCGAGACTAATGGACAGCACTTGATTTTTATATATGAATAATAACACCTTTGGATGAGGTGAACGCTACCAAGCTATTTCTAATTTCTTTTGTGTTTTTAATTGTTTTGTAATTTTAATCATTATAAACTGTTCCTTAATTAAAAAAAAAAACATTCAGTAAATCCACTTAGATATAATTCTTTTATTAATACTGCATGGCATTGACCAGCCTAAATAGCTCGGCTCGACCGCGGAAGGACCACGCTCTCACAGAATACCAGCGTGAAATAGCAGCTTAATGCTGCTGTGTTTCGTATGGTATAGAACTGCAGACCCGTTTTACTGGAATCGAGGAATTTCATCATAGTCCTCACGGGTGACAACGCACGTGCGTTTTGATTCGTAATCAAGGATAGATGTAGATTTCTATCGGCTACGGCAACCACTTACCATCAGGTGGACTGTGTGCTCGTTTGTCAACCTTATGCTATAAAAAAAATGAAGCCTGGGCTTATTCTACTCGATCAGCAAATAAATCTAGCGATACCGGTCCACAGATCCATGAACGCCTACATACAGGCGAGAAGCCCTACGTTTGCAAGGAGTGTGGGGCTGGATTCCATCGGAAGAGTAGCTATCTCCAGCATATCGCCATACACCTTCCCGAGAAAACAGTGCAGGTAATTTTTTTAACTAAATATTTTATGTTTTTTGTTTATTGGAACGAAATTCCTTATCGCACGGAACGAATTTAGAATTTTTTGTAAGGTTTTTCTGACACGTCCCCCTTTCTATAGCGCGACCGAGATGGAATAATATCCATCTCCCTCGGACATTTTCTTATCTGGCCATGAAAGAAATATTATTTTATTTTAATGGACGCTAGTAATTCATTTATTTGTGTTTGTTAATCAATAATATAATACTTACGTTTATCAATAATAATATACTACGAAAGGTACTTCGTTCCAACAGAGTGTTCCACGAAAGTTACGCAGGTTTTATTTCAAAGGTTCACTCTTTTCCCCTATATCATAGTTTTTAATGTTTTTTTTTTATAATAAGGGTGACAAATTAGCAGGATATTGTGGCCCATGGACATCTACATTTCTCGATTAAGAATTAAAAATATAGATTGCGTTATCACCCCTGAGGACTAAGATGGAATGCCTCGTTTCCAGTAAAAAGGGTTTCCCCGGCTATCTACACTCACCATACGAAGCACAGCAGCATTAAGCTGCTGTGTGCTCGTTTGTCACTCTTCTATAAAATGTACTGATCTGCTTGTATTCCGGGCTGTAGTGTACACAATGCCCGGCTCGCTTCAAATCTGCGACTCTGATGCGCATCCACGCCAGTCGCCACCGAGCCGCCCGGTACTCGTTCAAATGCCGCGTGTGCGACGGTAGTTTCGCGAGGCGGCGCAACGTTGCGCGACACTTGCAGAGGGTACACGCTTTACAACCCCAGCAGGAGCACATCGAGCGTCTAGTCTTGACCTGAACCTAAGGATCCTTTTCTTTTAACGATAATTAGTGGAATCAGGCGTTACTTTATGGAAATCCATTATGTTAAAGATGTTAAAAATTAATTAGCTTAAGATGCGCGTAATAAAATGATTTAAAATTAAACATTTTGTACAACCGACTTCAATATAAATTATTAAGAATAACTCAAGAACTATTGCTCAGACCTTGATCAAATTTATATGGGACCACATGAGAAGCGCCGGCTTTCAAATAAAGAATCATCGAAATCGGTTCACCCAGAGAAAAGTTATGAGGCAACACATAAAAAAAAACATACAGTCAAATTGAGTACCTCCTCCTTTTTGAAGTCGGTAGATAAAATGATGGCTTACCTAGTTTGAAAAGTATTTGAATATTGTTTCCTAGTGTAGTGATGATAGCGCATGCATTGGAGAGGGGAGGGGGGGAGCTGCTCTTCAAACACAAGGTAAGACACATCATTTTGTTACTGGGGTCTTATAAAATTATATAATTAGCTATTTTTTATTTAACTAGATAATTAGCTAACATTTTTTAACGATTGTTTCTAATAATGAATCGAAAATATCGACTTTTTTTTTCGATCTTTATGTAAAACTGACAATTGGTAGGTGTGTAAGTGTGCCTATTTGTGTGATTTTGTAATGGGAGTTACTGCAACAAATCATATCTATATCCTTATTTAAATAATTCATAATAACACTTATTTCAGCACTTAAAACGATTTACCACGTGCTCGGCGGTGAAGGAAAACATCATGAGGAAACCTGCATGTCTGAGAAATAAGAAAAAATATATTTCGAAGACATGTGAAGTTCGCCAACACGCATTGGGGCAGCGCGGCGGACACTTCCTTGCCCTAAAACCCTCTCAGAAATGAGAGGAGGCATGTGCCCAGTAGTGGGACGTAAATAGGCTGCAACTTTACTTTACTTAACACTTATTTCACCCTGATCGGATTTCAATAGACACTTCATTTGCTCTGAGAGGAGAGACGTACGTGCTCCATCTTTCAAGGAGATTTATGCTAAGTTTATACATTTGTCAAGTCTTAGCAAGTTTCCATAAGTGGATTGGTGAGAGAAACGACACTGTTCTGCTCAGTAGGTTCACTGAACACCATCTGTGACCGGTGAGCCTACTGTTGTAGGGGTAGACGGAGTATTTACACCCGTATTCAAGAACCACCCTTATTTAAGTGTACTGGCTCTCACTGCGAAGTGTCCGATTTCTCACAGTGTTGGATATGTCCATCGACTTGTTTCATAGACAACACTTAAGTATTTCTTTACTCAGTGAATGCATAGGGAAGGATTCGGCGTTTTGATTGGTCGGTTTCGGGGCTAGCTTCAAGTTATTCAATTTTCAAGCGTCAAATGTCAATTAGTACATAACCTCAATTAATGTGTTGATTTTTGCAAACTGGCTTGTGTTAGATACGATACGCTATTTGAAGTAAAATTTAGCTTAAATACCAAGTAGAATTTTTGTGATAATGGAAATAATATCTCCGGCTAACAGTGCTAAATGGTAACTCAAATATTTTTCCTCAGTAATTTTTATTTTGTGTGTTTTTTGATAATTCATTCAACATACATTATTTTAATTTTTAGCTCAAAAAAAATAGCTTTTTCCTCCGCCGAAAAAGAACTAATCATAAGTTTGGTAAGTGAACGTCCCATTATTGAAAACAAACAGACAAATGCCCGAAACATTGAGCTCAAGAGGGCGGCATGGGACGAAATTGAAAATGCCTACAATGCAGTACCTTTTGTGGTCAAGAGAACGGCATTACAGCTAAAGAGATGCTGGGAAAACATAAAAAGTTGTCGTAAGAAGGAGCTGTCAATGGAAGTCGGCAGTTTATTACAGACTGGAGGTGGAGTTGGTGAAGCGGGCACTACAGAAAACGTCATAGACAGTATTTGCCCATACATAAATCTGACTGTACCTGGAGTCATTGACTCAAACACAGAAGAGAAAGTCCTAGGTAAAAGATTTGTTACATAATTATCATAATTAAGGATGAAGCTTTATTTCTTGTTTTGTTTACATCACTACTCTATACAAAGCTTGCATTTTACTTACTATTAAACAGCAGAGACAAAGTTATATTGTAAATTAGAAATGGAATTTTTTGAAATTTAAGCAACATTATTGTTATTGTTCACAGTAAACCTGAGTTCTGTGGAAATACATGCTCCAGAGAAAATAGATAAAGAAAACCAACATGGTAATATAGTTCTGTAGTATTGTCAAAATGTTACTTAAAATAAACATTGAATAGAATGCACAAAAAGATAAACTATATCTGGATATTATTTCAAATATCTTATTTTGTGTACATGCTACTTTATTTTGGGTATTTACTTTTCCTTTTTTGCAGATAATGAGGTCATAGAAAGTTTAAAATTAAGCAAGAGGAAAAGAGGATTATTTCCTTTAAAAACATTAACAGGTACAGGAACAAGTATAATATGTATTTTTTTATGTACGGACGGAGATATGAAGTAGGCAAATATAAATTCATTGTTCAAGGGAGCTTTTAGCTTTCCATTACATACACTATCTACTTACAAGTGTACATAATTTGATGTAATTGACCTATGTAATGATAACAGCCAGACACACTTGCTTATAATGTAATATTAGAATTGATTTTAATGTATTAATAATTATGCCCATTTAGTAAGTCTTTAATTACTACCAGCTACTACTACTTCAAAACACTCATCTCAATAATACATGTTGTAGATTTATACTTATTTTATTTCAGATAACAATGGTAAGCTCTCCAGTGAAGTCCAAGTGCGGGTAAAGCGGTGCAAGGAGAATATAGAGCAGGATTCAGAATTACATAAATTGAGAGTCCAGAGGGAAAAAATATTGATAAAAAAAGAAGAAATATTATTGGAAAAAGAGTCACAGCAAGCCACATTTCAAATAGAAAAAAACAATTTAGAAATCAAGAAACTTAAGTTAGAAATAGCATTATTGGAAAAAAAATTAAATTAATTTATTCAAAGTCCCTGTAAAAATTGTTTTATTTACATGAAATTAATAAATATAACTACCAGAAATACATTTCAAAAATGTCGTTCAATAAACATTCTCCTAAAAACTAATCCCTGTCTATTGGATGGATTGGCATTCCTTCTGTCAATTCTTCTTATAACCGGTGGTTCTATATTCTCCTCAATTTCATTATGCAAACGACAAATATTATACAAAATGGCTGTGGCTACTACTACATGGCATGTTGTTGTCAGATTTGTCGCTAGTTTTTTTGACAAACATGGGAAAATTCTTTTCCAAACACCTATAGTTCTCTCAACAGTATTTCTGGTCTTAATGTGAGCTTTATTATAATTTTGTTCAGCATCTGATTCTGGCCGTAGAACTGGTGTCAGTAAATATGTTTGGCAACCATAACCACTGTCACCTAAAAGCAAGCCATCAATTTCTCCTCCTTCCAGCTTTGCTTTTAATGTACTTGCTTGAAATATACGATTATCATGAACTGAACCTGGTCTGTCAGCTACAATGTCATATATTTCTAATTCAGGGCCGCACACAAGTTGTGTATTTATGGAGAAAAATTTTTTCCTGTTACGGAAAACTTCAGCAAAATTTCCTCCAGGGTTTTGGATAGCAACATGTGTGCAATCTATGCATCCTCTTACTCCAGGAAACTGCGCAATCTGGTAAAATTTTAGTTTTGTATATTCACTGTTTTCTGGGAATTTTATGTACCGTTTTATTTGCAAACTAATCAAATAGGACACTCTTTTGACGATTCTTGAAACGGTTGGTTGGCTAACACTAATAAGGTCGCCGCTGATAATTTGAAAACTGGCTGAGGCATAAAATCTGAGTGCAATTAGCAACTGGTACACTGGGGGAATTGGTAGTCCTCTTTTTGTAAGTTTCTCGAGATTGTGAGAAATTAGCGGCATAAGTACGTTTAATACTGTTTCTTTGCGAAATCTATATCGCTGTTTAAATTCCACTTCACTATAATATTCGAAAGGGTTCTGAAAATCTCTGATAACACGCCTTATTGTCACGCTTTCTTGGCGATTCACTTGTTCGTCCAAGTAATTATCAAATTCCTCATCACTACCACTCATTTTTATTTTAACTAGGTAGTACTAAAATACACAAAAGACAAACAATAGTTTATAAGCTTATATCATGGAGTATAGTTTATATATAAGTAATAACTTATGCTTTATTATTTTGAGGTTATGAATATGACATTTACGCCGACCCTATGCGTTCGTTAAAGTAGCTAATGGGTAACTTTAGCCAAGGGTGTCCCTAATTAGTTGCATAGTGTCGTCCAACACTCAAGTAACGTTTATGAAACAAAATTTCGTCCACTGTGGGTTAAAGCCTACTGTGCGTACGCATAGTATCGTTCTTGAATACGGGTGTTAGTTTCTTTCTCTTTATTTTTTTACATTTAATTAATGACATTGGATAAAAACAAATTGTCAGTTGTCACTAACAACCTTGCCTTGGCTTTATGGACTTTGTCTGAAATAAAAAATTTTTTTAAGTCCTAATTCTATACAAATGCTAGGCTCGCCTTTGGGAATGCTCTGAACAGACAAGTATGGCGGACCCCGGGACGATGAACTTATTTCAACTATTGTTTAGTTACCATAGTGTACATACAATATTAATACTAATTTGTTATGTACGCGTGTTCACGCAAAATCTGTGTGCTCGTCGAACCCTTACGATATAAAAAAAAAACTGGAGAACATAATCCTCATAGCATAAAAACGATTGCATAGTTAGAATATTTCAGTTTTCGCTCTCCAGCTATATCAACACACCAATTAGTGATATCATTTTTCTCATTAAAATTTAAGTGTGATGTCAAAGAAACTTGGTCAAAAACAACTGTGCACAGCTTTTGTTTTGTGTCCCAGTTTTTGGTTGTATTTGATAAATGTTCGAATATGGATTAAAGCCTGGTTTCAATGC